AGAATGGAAGGTTTGAAAAATAACGTTTCCTCTGGGCAGTTAGGCCAATCTGAAAAAGTCGCTTTGACTGCAAGTACTTCATACTGAGGCTTCCCTAGTCCATTGAAGTCGCGATTCTCTCCCTATGTTTTCCATTTCAACTCAGAACATTTCAGCAATGATTACAGAACAGTAGATACAGAAAACTTTATTTATTTTAAAACCCGCCCTCGTAGTATTAACGAGCGCAATGGAGGCCTACCTTCATGCACTAAATCAGTTTTTTGGAGCGAACAAAACATATGGAACATAGAAAGGATCACAAGGTCTTCGCATGAACCCTTCTTTCAAAATATCATTTCATCTCATCATTTCGAAATATCACGCAGTTGAAACAACATCCATAATGGTAGTACAAGACAACTAAGATGATGAGGAGAGCCTATTCAGATCGATTAAACACTCTGGGACCACCTTTCCTAAACCGTCTCATCTCCTCTGACACTACTTTCTTGAGATTAGCAATGTCTTTCCTGAAAGAAAAGGGTGAAGTGCACTAACTCCCAGAAAAAAAACCATTTACTGACCTATCCCTCTCTTTCATGAATTCCTTTTCCTTCCATAATTTCTGCATCATATACGCATCTCCGTCTAGGAACGGCACTTCGACCTCTTGATTATTTTCATCAGGAGGCTCCAAGTGTTCTTCAGCTTGTTTTCTAGAAGGATAGCAATAAATAGAACAAAATGAGCTAATTGGAAAACGAACTTGTATGTGAATCCCATAAAAGAGGTCACTGTGCGCACTGGTAGATCAGCGCTTACGCCAGTTTCTAGTAGGTAATATGCATCATTCCGTTCATGGACAACTGTTTGAATGTTCTCCATTGTCTAAACATTCCCAGAATTGATAAAACCTAGTCAAATAATGAATGACTAATACTGCTTAGTACGGATTTGAGTATTCTAAGTACCTCATTAACTCGATCAATACGTTCAGGATTTGGCATTGAACGAGCACGTTCCACGCATGCGTTCCGCATGGTAAGCAACATATTACGCTCCTTCAGACAGACGTACCTGGAAAAGAGCCAACAGCTAGGAATCGTCTTCGGTTCTTCCTCACGGAGAAAGTGGTGCAGACTGTGAGATCAACGAAA